TTCCTTCGCTACATAAGAGTTCTTATGTTTCAACAACGAGAGCCGAAACCATCAATATAATTATTAAAAATTAAATTGAATTAAAGTAACAAGCCCTGTCTCATCCTCAAGCGAAAATTCAGGAATAACCAATTTTGAAATTTACGTATCGTTATAAAAACATATTCATTCGTTAATATGGAAACATGATATATATATATATATATATATATATATATATATATATATATATATATATATATATATATATATAGTGAGATGAAAATAGAGTACAATTCCACCATGCGTAACATTTAATTCAAAAGAGGGCTCAATACAAAGTAGAGCAATATATCTCGTTAATGATATATTTCTACCTTGCATAAAAAATAATGGTAACCCAATTTATATTCATCCAAATTCTAACCACCCTCCATCTGTAATCCAATATATACCTTTGTCTGTAGAACGTGGGGTTAGCAACCAGTCATGGGACAAAGATGTGTTTGATAAATATAGCTGTGTGTATAATAAACTTTTAAAGAATAGTACGCTCAGGTCAAGTTTAGAAAATAGGATAATAGTGGTCCAAATAAAAGAAACAGAAATAGGAAGATCATTTGGTAACTCCCACTACACCATTTAATCAATTAGTTTGTTATTATAATCATTAAATTGTTTTTAAAATAGGGGGACTATTCTGTATATTAAATAATAAAAAATTTAATTTTTCCAAAAACGTTAATGAAAATTTATTGTACTAAGCTATGAACACTAGTAAAACCAACTGTATTTTGCACTTACTTACTTGTTTGCACTTCACAAAATTTGTTTGGGATCGGCCAATGTATGGCTATTTTACATTGTGGACGAACAAAAGTCGCAGAATTTTATATATACATTTATTTTAATTTGCCGGCTGGGTACTTGTTTTTAATGACATCTAAGGAAACTGAATATGACTTCACTATCTTTCTTTGTCATAGCAATTCATCGATAAAGAAAAGGAATCCGTGGAGAGACATGATCACCTACATCCTTGAGGGATATGGCATTAAAAAGGTAATGATTAATGGCTGAGTATTTCCAAGTATGTCCGTCGGGTGACTAGCTAATCCCTGTTGCAGACGCCTGCTACGGCACATCTGAATTTCTTTAATACATACAAACAAGTGATTGAAACTACAGCTATGCTGAGGGGACATTAGTTACATTTTCTGGAAAAAAAATGCATAAGGCGTTGTGACTTGTTGAAAATCACAGTATGCACGAACCCTCTGTCACGATGACTTGTAACTTCGTGCTAACCCAACCATGTACGGTTTTCGAACATTTTCGTCAATGCAATTTCAATCACAGGGCTAGGGTCGTGTTATGGCATTCAGCCACACCACAAGGGTGACGTATGCAGGTATTATTTACAAAAAGGCTCACATAATGGTCTATATTCGAGGCGTTGTGACAAACTAAACTTGGTAGATAATTCTACTAATGTTATTTGTAATTTATAAAAATACCTGTCAGCATCGAATCACCTAGATACGCGGCGTTCCTTTCATCTGGGACCCCATAACAACCTATTTCAGGACCCGGTGTTTTACATACGAACATTTTTTTTTACGTCAACGCGTAACATGATGCAATTCGTCGCTGCTGCGACTTGCGCAGGATTACAGCGACCACATCAACAAAGCAGTCGTCTCGGCTGCTTGAACGATTTACATATCAAAATACAAACGAGCTGCACATCTATCTATCTATCTATCTATCTATCTATCTATCTATCTATCTATCTATCTAAAGCTGTTCACATCTATCTAGCTATCTATCTATCTATTCAATTCTGTTTATATCTATCTATCTATTCAATTCTGTTCATATCTATCTATCTATCTGTCTAAAGCTGTTCACATCTATCTATCTATCTATCTATCTATCTATCTATCTAAAGCTGTTCACATCTATCTATCTATCTATCTATCTATCTATCTATCTATAGCTGTTCACATCTATCTATCTATCTATCTATCTATCTATCTATCTATCTATCTATCTGTAGCTGTTCACATCTATCTATCTATCTATCTATCTATCTATCTATCTATCTATCTATCTATCTATCTATCTATCTGAAGCTCTTCACATCTATCACGAAAATATGGCGCACCCTGTGTAGCTCAAACTCAGTACTTTGTTGTAATTGATCCACCGAAACGAGCTTGTTAACCATCATACCATTGCTATTCCAGTTTGCCTTTATTGCAAAATCGTTCTATTTTTAAATTTCCACATTTTGTTCCATTTCAGATTAAAGCCTTAAATTTTAAAAAAATGAAGTGTCGCTTTAGTGTTAATACTAAACTAGTGTGGACATGACAGAGAAAATCTTTTTAAGTCGATAACATTTTTCAGTCTCCTTTCTTTAATGCCACATCTCTTCAAGACGAAGGAGATCATGGATCTCCACAGGTTCTTTTTGTAATTATCTTTCAGTTGCTACATGTTCTTGGGAAATATGAATTCAGACTCGTGACTGGCTGCCATCCCAAGCTAGAAAGCCTTGTCTACCCTACTATTTAACCTGGTAGGAAGACATCAATTCATATCTTTTTAAATTGATTGTTGAGTCCACCTTTCGCGGCGTTACCCGACTCGCTCTTTACCACAGCACTCCTCCTGCCTCTGCATATCCCAATAAGTGTATCTATCTGCAGTGCAGGGAAACAAATATTTGTACAGACACAAATTTTAATTTTATTTTCCAACAAATGTCTGTATTTCTGAGGTGAGGTATTATGTACACTGTCCTCATCTTTGTCGCCATATTTATTACAACGTTTCGGCCGTTGTATGCTCCGGCATCCTTCAGGTGGTTGGAATGTCGAACTGAACCCTTTATTTCGCTCGCTAGGGTAGACTGTTCTAGTTCCACGTGCCATGTTTTAATGGATGTCAGTTGTCAGTTATCTCCTGTTAATTCCCTTCTCCAAGTTCTCCACTGCCTTTAACGTGTATTGAACTCACACTCTTTGGGTCCTGTCACTGGATCTAACAAACACCTTTATTCACTGTGCCATGTGTCCTTGAGGACATCTGTGTATGAATTTCTGGGTATTATTTCTACGTATTATAAACCTAATGTCTAATTTTTTAACAGTGCTCATATTGCAATTATTGCTGTCATCATACATGTTTTTACCAGAGCTCATATTGCAATTCGCTTTTTTCTGGCACTCCTTATTACTTGTTCCCATATTCTATTCATTTCTATGCTCGGTCGGCTCAGGAGATTTTTGTGGGCTAGCATATGTGCTGATTCCTTAAGTTTACGAATTTTCCAATGGTGTTCTTTTTCTATGATCTCAACCTGATCCCACAGGGGGCGATGATCTCCCTTTTCTCTCCATATGTAATAAATATAGCGGCAAAGATGAGGACAATAGTAAATATAACTTTCACATAATTAACTGTACACAAAAGCATAATAACTAAATATGCATAAAAAACAGAAAAAAATTATCTAATGGAAATAAATTCCATTCATCAATATTAATGGGTGAAAAAAGTATTCGTACAATAGAAAAAAAAGAATACATAATCTTCATTTAATAATTTGTAGAATAGCCATTTTTCACTTCTACAGTAACCAACCTTTTCTTGTAATTCTCAATGAATGATTTGCAAATTTTAGTTGGTATCTTGTTCCATTCTTCTTTGTATACGGTCTTCAGATCCGGGATGTTTGTTGGAGCTCTCGATTGGATTTCAAATTTCAAGTAACACCACAGATTCTCGATTCGGTTTAAGTCTGAGGACTGACTTTGTTATTTCAGGATATTTACATTATTTTCAGCAAACCATTTCTTTGCAGATTTTGCAGTGTGCTTAAAATCCAATCAGGAAGAAGTTCAAGATTTTCAACTGAAATCATTAAATCTGTTTCCAAAATATTTTGATATGCTGCGGCATTCATTCTACCATCTATTATTGATATATTGCCAGTGCCTTTTGCAAAACAACATCCCCAAAGCATGGTGCTGCCACACTAAATTTTACTGTTAGAACTGTGTTCTTTTGTTTGAAGACATCGCCATCTTTCCTCTATGCATGATTTCTAGAATTACGCCCAAACAACCCGATTTTGGTTTCGTCTGTCCATAATACTCTTTCCTAATATGATTTTTCCTTATACTTATGTTCAAAAAGGAATTTCAACCTGACATCTCTGTCTTTTCAATAGCAGTAGAGTTTTTCGAGGGGAACATGACTTAAGATTGTTCCTATGAATTTTATTGATTATATTATAAATGATTATATGATTTTATTGATTATTGTCCGTTCAGTGACACCGATTTCTGATCCTGCAAATCATCCTGCAACTCTTGACAAGTTGCCATTGGATTTTATTTAATTTGACGCATTAATTTCTTCGAAGATCTTGAAGAAATCTTCCGTGGAGCACCTGTCCTTTTTTGGTTTTCATCAGTTTTGAGTCTTTTATGCCTTTTATACCTTTTATGAATTAAAATAATGGTAGGAAATGAAATATTCCGGTTGACTGAGATTTTCTGTAACTTTTACCATCTTTGTAGAAATTAACAATCAGTTTTTTTTTTTTTTTTTTCTCGAATTTCTCAATTCTTTACCTCTTGTCATGATGTTAACCTTTCACGAATATCAATTACAGAATGTTCTGTTTGCATATTTTGGTAAAAAAAAAACTTCTTATAATATTATTAGAAAATTCTAGAATATTCCACTTGAATAATCTAAAGTAGTAAAGCAATTTAAAAGTTTTCAAATCTGAAATTTGCATTGTACGAATACTTTTTTCACACAATAAAATGGATAAATCGGATTTATTTCTATTAAATCAAATTTCTTCTGTTTTCTATCTATATTTAGTTATTATGCATCTGTGTACAGTTAATTATAGGAAAAATATGTTTATTCATTAGTTGGAAATACAATACATATAAAATTTGTATGTGTACGAATATTTGTTTCGCCCCACTGTAACTATGAGAATCTCTTCATATCTATCTATCTATCTATCTATGGCAATTTCCTCATGTCTGTATCTCTGTCTGTCTGTCTATCTATCTATCTATGGCAATTTCCTCATATCTGTCTCTCTGTCTATCTATCTATCTATCTATCTATCTATCTATCTATCTATTTATGGCAATTTCCTCATGTCTGTCTATCTATCTATCTATCTATGGCAATTTCCTCATGTCTGTCTCTCAGTCTGTCAGTCTGTCTGTCTGTCTATCTATCTATCTATGGCAATTTCCTCATATCTATCTATCTATCTATCTATCTATGGCAATTTCCTCATGTCTGTCTCTCTGTCTGTCTATCTATCTATCTATGGCAATTTCCTCATGTCTGTCTCTCTGTCTGTCTATCTATCTATCTATGGCAATTTCCTCATGTTTGTCTCTCTGTCTCTCTGTCTGTCTGTTTGTCTATCTATCTATCTATCTATACGTGTGTGTATGTATTGATATGCTAGGAAAGAACTGTTAGAATGATGATCCTAAGTTCTTTAATATCTTTGTTCTTATTTTCAAATAAGATAGTAAATAAAAAGATAAGAATAAAAGAATAAAAGATAAAAAATAAAAAAAATAAAAAATATTAAAATACTCTTAAATAGTAATTTAAAAAAAACAACGGTGACTGATAAAATTAGCTATTGTAGACAGACAAAAAAATACCTCAACCCAACCTTAAACGACTCCAAAAATTTTACATATAACAAACACCCTTACTTCTATCAAAGCAGAGACCCCTTGATAATGAAAAACAAACCCTAGGTCACACCTCCATTTCAAAACTATAAACGAGTAAAACATTTCGTTGCTTAGTTATTCCGAACGTCGCATGTGGATGAGATTGCCAATCAGTGGTTAAGGTTTAATATTGGAATTAAACTTCAATACGGATGACCAGTTTCGAAACAGTAATTTCTGTGTTGCAATGGAATCATATTTTAAAAATTTTAAAAATATATATATATATATATATATATATATAATATTTATATATATATATATATATATATATATATATATATATATATATATATATATATGAGAATCTCTTCCTATCTATCTATCTATCTGAGACAGTGCATATGTAAGCAACGAGGAAGTTTTATGGTAAACAGAAACAAAAAGGATACTTGTACTTTAAATAAGAAAGCGATAGTTTAATTATTTAGGATGGAAAAGAGGATAGTGTTTTGGAGAATTAGCCGCACCACCTTGCAAGGGTGGGAAGGGGGAACAGCAATTAATCTACCCAACAATTTTGTGTCGATGCCTGGTAGAGCAGAATGTGGGAAGGCTAATAACAAGGCAAAACATTGCTAAGATCTACAGAGAATAAGAAGTTGTAGGTGAGCCGTGAAGAAGAACGTAACAGAATAAGGGTTTATTAGAGGATTGAACTCACTACAAATGGAAATGATCTACCAAGACAAACTTACTTCCCTTCATACCACTTCGAAGATTCTTTTTATGAAATTGCAATTCCAGCCTGACTTTGTTACAAAATCATTTTATTTTTTATTTTCAGCATATTTTTCTATTTTAGCGTAAAAGAATAAATGTTTAAAAAATGACTTGTAATTTCAACTGTTGCTTTAGTTTTAGGCCTAAATTGATGTGGACATGATATAGAAAATCTTCATAAGAAAATAATATTTTTCAGTCTCCTTTTGTTAAATGTCATATCTCTTCAAAACGAAAGCGATCATGGGTCTCCACAGGCTCCTTTTTTTTAATTTGAAAGATAATTTAAAAAAAAGGAGCCTGTGGAGACCCATACGACTTCTTGGAACATATAATAAAGTTGTTTTCCGTAGCCTATATCCCAATCTATCTATCTATCTATCTATCTATCTATCTATCTATCTATCCCCTGTCTGAAGTTATTAAGCATGTCATATAAACTTCAATAATTCAAATTTGTTTTTTGATTTATTTTTTCTAAGCATTTCACACCAAGAAAGGCAGGAGTGCCACTAATACGCAAGGGACTGCAGAGAGTGTTAGTTAGGGGAAAGTTTGTGTATGGGGGGGGGAATTGAAGAAAGGATAAAAAAGAGAAAAGAGAAAGACAAAAAGAAGAACGGGAATCAAGGCATCAGAAGATGTCGATTGGCAAGTAAGAGGAAGGGCGTTCTCCAGTCGGGAAGTGCGAAAAGCTGTTGGAGTAGAAGAGGTGGTTACATTTAACTGTTTCGACAGTAAAAGAGTAAAACAATTGATTGCTGTCTCCTTGTTGATGATGGCCGTGCCATCTATCGAGATGCCAACCTAGAAGCACGCTTAAATTCATGCAGTCGGGGCACCTGTGAAAATAGCTCGTCAGAGCAGATGCCATGAAAATATCTATAGAAAAGACAGAGGGAAGCCGACTTTACGTCGGTGAGAAAGTGACTGGAGTCGAGACCCCAAGTCAAGACAGATCACATTGCATATCATTCTCTGGATTTTTGTCGAGAACCTCAAGATGAACAGCGGTGTCATCAGACCATATATGGCAACATTATTCCATGCATTGACGAATGGTAGATATGTTGATGTGAAGGATGGACTCAGACGACTTTGAAAAAAATTGTCTATTTTTAAACAATCAATTTAGATGCCAAAACAAAACAAAGAGTTAAAATTTTCGATGGTATCAATCTGTTTTATTGAAGTTATTTGATGTATTTAAAAAAAAACAAACTGCCGTCTGATGTTATTAGCCAAAGTCAAATAATGCCATTTTACTTTAATAAAAAAATAATAAAAATCATCAAAAATTGATAAACACCTATAATAGAACAAATAACAAACACATATGGTAAGTTTTTAAATCCTTTACATTTTTATATAGTGATTTCATCTTAATAACAGCCACTAATTATCCATTGATTTTGTTAATTATTTTTGCTTCAGCAAGTTCATTTTCCAGCATGGTAGTTTTAATTGTTTCCTATAGGTCTGCTTTGATGTTTTACCGTTTGCCACTTTCATATAATTTAATCTTCAAAACAGACCATAGATTTTCGATCGTATTCAGATCACGACTTGATGATGGTCGTTCCAATATATTCTCTCTTGTAAGTCTTTTTTTGATCAAAGAATCCACGGGTTAGCTTAGATACATAAGAAGGTGCGTAATCGTGCATAAATATGCACTTCACTTTGAAACTGCGAGACTGTGACTTGTTCTATGCAAAGAAAGTTTTGTTCATTAAATAGCAATAGTTTGAACTCTTCAGTTTAACTCTTTCCTCGACTTTGAATGCTCCAATAATAGTTTGGTCGACAATTCCAACCGATATCATAACATTACTGTCTCCTTGTTGTCTTCTTTTAGCCACAGGTCCGTCTGAATTGGATAAAATCCATCCTTTGGCCCATCTACCAAGTCCATGTCACTCGTGATTCATCCGTGAAAATTACTTTAGAAAAGCCAATTTTCATGTATTTCTTGGCCCAATTTTGACGCTTTAAAAAAATTGCTTTTGTAAGAGGAGGTTGCCTAGGACATTTTTTTTTTACAGATCCCAATTTACAAAGTATTTTATACCTTCTTGACTCCATCAATTCTACCCATTTCAAAGATCTGGGGCTGATCAAAAGTGGTTATTTCGTTATAACTCGCTCTTTGCCTCAAGTTCTCAGATCATTTATATTTTCAATACCGTTCGATGATCTCTTATAAGCTCCTTTGATATTTTCAATGTGGATATTCCCTCGCTCAATAACTTTATTATTTTCTGTTTTTCAGAAATTGTTTGATAATTCCCTTTGCTCAAATTTCAACATATATTATGAACAAAAAGAAAAAATATTTTTTTATTTCAGAGGTCTTAAACTAATATTAGTTTAATCTGCGTACCAACTTCAGTCAGTCCATTTTTGTAAATTCCAAATATCTCAAAAAATAACGATTAAAAATGGCAGAAAATTTAGGTAAATATTTTAATAAGGATGTAAAAGGAGGACGAGTTTAAATTTGACAAATATTTGTTCAGGACTTTTTGAGTTATTGACGTTTATTTGATTTGAATAATAATTTCAGATATCTATCTATCTATCTATCTATCTATCTATCTATCTATCTATCTATATCTATCTATCACAATCTCTTCGTATCTATCTATCTATCTATCTATCTATCTATCTATCTATCTATCTATCTATCTATCACAATCTCTTCGTATCTATCTCTCTATCTATCTATCTATCTATCACAATCTCTTCGTATCTATCTATCTATCTATCTATCTATCTATCTATCTCTTCTATCTATCTATCATCTATCTCTATCTATCTATCTATCTATCTATCTATCTATCTATCTATCAGAGACGGGAGCAACGACAAAGTTTTAAGGTAAGCGGAAACAAAAAAGACACTTGTACTTTAAATAAGAAAGCAACAGTTCAATTTTTTAGGATAAAAAAAAAAGGATAGAGGGTTTACAGAATTAGACATTCCCAGCGACAAGAGGAGAAAAGGAAACAGCGAATAACCTACCTAATTATTTTGTATGCATGCTTCGTAGAGCAGGAAGGTTGAAGGATAATAAAATATAAAACATTGCTATGAACTACAGAAGAATAGAAAGTTGTGGAGAGCCGTGAAAAAAACAAAACGCAACAAACTCGTTGGTGATTAGAGGATCGAACTTACTACTTAGATGCAATTGATGTCCCGTGACAAACTTATTAACCATTGCTATTCCAGTCTGCCTTTGTTGCAAATCATTCTATTTTTTAATTTCAGCATTTTGTTCCATTTTAAAGTAAAACATTAAATATTTAAAAAAATGACTTGCAGTTTTCATTTCGTTTTAGTTTAGGCTTAAACTAGTACAGACATGACAGAGCAAATCTTTTTAAGTAAATAACATTTTTCAGTCTTCTTTTTTTTTATGCCATATCCCTTCAAGACGAAGGAGATAATAGATCTCTCCGATTCCTCAATCCAAGCCACTATCCATTACTCCACTGTGCCTCCCACATGACGTAAAGAAAATGGCAAGGATTTTTTTGGTTAGCTTATATAACAAAGAAAGAAACTTAAGAAAAAGAGAGAAACAAATATTAATGCAGCTTGCGAGTATCCCTGCCATTTCAATTTAAAACTATGAATCCTTTTTACCGGATAAATTCGACACATGAAGAAGGCCGAAAAATTTGTCAGCCCGAATGTTGTGATAGTACCAGCAAGCAGGAAGATATTAGCCTCCAACCACTGGTGGAACAATGGGAAGGATTCATCTTCGAATGTTAGACGATATTTAGTATCCATTTCGTCAAGATTTAATCGCAGTGTTTCAGCCGATGTGGTTTTCTGCCTTCTTAAGTTCTGAGATTAAAAGCCCTTCTCCATTATTTCGCGAAATATCCATACTTTTCAGTGTTTATAACCGTCCATTATGGCGGAGTATTTACTTGATGTTTTTAAGGCTTGTTCTTATTTTTACAATGATATGTACAAGGCCGAAGAGCCACTCAAGATAGAGGGTTACAGAGTGGCACCGTTCCAAGCAAGCTGGTAATGCTACCAAAACACACGGACCATGGAAGTGAAATGGAAGTAAAACAACTTTAGAGGGAACCAGAAACCCAATCCTAAACAGAAAACAAGGGATAAACCTCTACTCCTGTTCAAAAAAAAAAGTCAGGGGAGGAATGTCAACCGGACAATAAGTAAGCTTATCTACTATTTCTTATAATGAAGATTTTAATTAATTTTATATGCTTTTTGCAGTTGGAAGTGCGTATCACATTGTATATTCTCGGCAAATCTGTTGTGTCTCGAGGTTGATATATTTCCATGTTGATTGACATCTCCGCTTATGGAGCGCTATTCTGTACGATGTAGGGTCCGCCGTCTTGATAAGCGAGTTGCGGTATGTCCGACGTAATTATATATACGTTTGTTTTCGTTGGGAATGCAGTTCCATATGGAACATATACATATGGTATATTTAGACAGCAGTCTTTCATTGAGAGATGTTTTATTAAATAAAACGAACAAGAAAACCATTATTTGGCAAGTTTATCCTGTTGTCGAATATGTCGCTTGATATCGGGTGGATGTGAAGGAACTTGCGGAAATTGTGTCTAATGTTGAGAGTACTTTCAACAATCGTTGGCCATTTCCAGGAAAAGAAATTAGAAGTCGAAAGATAACCAGTGGGGCTTTTAGGCCATCAAAAGTCTGGAGATCAAAATGAACGAAGGTAGCGGAATAGATCATCGCGTCACAAGACTAAAATCACCTTACGGTTCAAATACGGTTTAGCACAAGTACGCCGAAGTTAAAACAAACTTTACTGATGGTGATCACAGTCATCTGATGTGAAGAGCCTCAAATGCTTTTAATAGTTTTTTTTTTTTTTGCAATTGTATTTACAGAGAACTATTGTATTGTCGATCATAACCTGAGTGTAATTAGAAAAGGCACCGTAGATTTGTGTTAATTGTTAATATTTGACAATGGTTGGAATGGTGACAGGTCAGTTTCCTCGAGAAATATGTGGTGTGATTTGGGAGTTTTTTTCACGACAAATGACGGTAACCCACCATTATTATATACATATACATGCTCGTATGAGGGGTACTTTAAAAATAATGCCTCCTATTTTGGTAACACAGTACTGGTTGAATCATCAATCCAGTACCCCATAATTTTTTGTTTTGTTTCAGTGAGCAGCTGATTGTCAGTATGACAAAAAACGTCTGGCATGAAAAGCGCATGCGTAATAGAGGTGTGCAACTGAATTCTTCCATGAAGAAAAATGGCAACTCTTAACATTCAGCTACGTTTTACTGTATTGTTTGGTTGATGTTTGTTTAACGGAATATAAACCTCTATGGGTTATTTAATACCGAAATCTAAATATTTTGAAAGTAATTTTAATGCTTCAACTACAGCTAAAATGTATTGTTGTCATTTTGCTATAAATATGTACTGTGGGGTCCTTTTCTTTAATATAAAAATGTATTGTTGGTAACTTTACTATAAAAATGTATTTTTATACTTTCATAGTGTTTTGTTTTTGTTTGAGGGTTCACTATTTGCCCATAGCTGGGACCCTTACAGGTGCTACCACCCCAGGTCAGGGTGAACCTGGGAATAACAGCAATTAAGATGTAGTTCCACTTTTTTGTTGAACTTTTACGGAGACCAAATAGTGGAGGAGAGCACAGCCACTCATCTGCGCTGATGCAGGCTTTTTTTTATACACCCGATCCCTTATTCATCGAAAATATAAAACCAGTAGTTATTTATATGTAGATGAACATGCCTCCTATCCAATGGTGTCACTGTGCTTCCTATATTTGTTGTAGCTTTCGTCTAAAGAAATAGGAAGTATTACTTTTGGAGCGACCCTCTTGTATGAGCAAATATATGGCGAAACGATATATGAAGATTTATATATCAAGAACAATTTAAGGAAAATTTATGACAAGATGGAAAATATTTTCGTGTGTTGCGTTTTCATTCTAAAGGACTACATATATATATATATATATTATATATATATATATATATATATATATATATATATATATATATATATATATATATATATATATATATATATATAGGAATTTCCCCAAAAAATATATACCTAAGGTTTGAAATACATTTAAAAAAAAAAATATTTCTTGAAGCTTCTACTTTAATTTAAATTACGAGCTAATAGGTTAATATTTAATATTTCCAATATTCAAAATACTTTGCTCTATTTCAAACCGAATTTACATTGACTAGAATTAGTTTTTAAAATAGCTAAGTCGGCCATATTGACACATCTATCAATATAGCCACTCTGCCACGCTCCTCAAAAATCTCCAATCTCCCAATCAGAGGCTTTGCTTCCAGATGTAGTTTATCGTCATGCCCAAGACTAAAATCAGAAATAAGGTATTAAAAGAAGAATGAGAAATATTAAGGCTTTTTACCCGCGCGTCTGCACCGCGGAAATGTAATACAAAATCGAGTGACCTGAGACGTAGACTGAGGACAAAAATTGCTCAAGCACATTCGTCACTTCCTCTTTCGGCGACAACACAGGCGTCAGGTAATGACACTGCCCACCTGTTCAAGGAAAGCTAATAGCTAGGTGATGTCATCCTGGGACTCGAACCCACAATCTCTGAAGAAGTTCCCCAATGAGGCTCGAACACAAATGCCCTCCACCCCACCGGATTCGTAAATATATCTATATTAAAGAGACACTAGACAGTCAATTTTCTCGTGCAGTCAGTTCAATCCATGGTGAATGCCCCATTAACGTAGTCTTGTACCTTGCTAAATATAGTAAATATTTTAAATATAGTAAATATTTTAACGTAGTCTTGTACCTTGCTAAATATAGTAAATATGTTACTTACTAATTTTGGTCAAAGTAGAAAATAAAACCGTCCCCAATGAAGATTGAGCTCTTTATTTCATTTAAGAATGACTTAATCGTTATGTAAAAGTACCTCTCTTATATTAAGGTTTATTTAATACAAGGCTCAAGAGCCACTCTAGGTAGAGAGTACATTCTAAAATTGTTATGATGACAGAGGTATGATATCAGTAAAAGAGGGTGTGGTAGGAATTGGAGAATATGAGTCTAAATTACTATTGGCTCTTGACTTGGAAAAGTGAGGATTTTTTAGCGTTCGCGGGAAACTGTTACGCAAATATAGTTTTTGGAAAACTGTTTAATTATATGAAGTTTATATATAAAAGTAAAGAGTGACTAATGTTGTTTAGTCTGGTATAAGGGTGATATAGTTGGCTCTCGGAATCAGACGAGAACTCGAGTAATTATTTGTGTGACATGACTCTTCAGGAGGCGTCCTAAATGTTTCGGAGTATATATGAACACGTGAACGCAGGGTTAGCTTCTCTTTTCACTCACTCACTCACACACTCATTCTCTTTCGCTCGCAACGCTCACTCAGATTTGACGAGTCATTCGTCAACAGACACAACTGCATCGCCACATAATCACATGATCTGGGATGAGTGATCAGCTGTTCGAGGTGGAGGAAGTTACTGGTTGAAGTAATTTGATTTAAATCTTAAACAGCCGAGCTGGGGAAACACACCACACACGCGCATGCGCGCACGCACGTACGAATGCAAATGGCCGCACAGTTCCTCGCTGCGCTGTTTACGTTTCTTTGTTAAACTAATTCACCAAAACGCAATAGAAATAAACTTCTATCCACCACCCCCGATCGCCAGTTTCCTTCTCCTTTCACACAAAAAAGTGACAGTATGGATGCGTATACACACACATGCATGCACGCACACATATGCGCACACACACAAACCACACTCAGCAGGCACACTTCGAAATAGCGACAAACACACCAAAA